CGGTGTGGTTAAGAGGCCCTCAAGGAGACTGCGGTCCTCTTGGAGACCTTGCAAGCGTACGAACACATGATGTGACCGGTCTAATGACAGCGAACCGACTCGTGGCACCGACGCCGATGGCTGGTTCAACAAGGCGTGCAGTTGACCCGAAAAGTCGTCCTGCTGCAAAGACGCCTCATCCTGTAGTCCACCGGTCGTACCATGCGCTGTGTTGAGATCAGCCCAGGTGATGCAGGAGAAATCACGTGTCCGAAACTCGTTCAAGCTAACGTTCAGCCCGATTGAAATACTCTTTGTCGCCTCCCTGCCGAACTGGTCCGGTGACGGAGGTGATGCTGATGACCAAGATAGGGGATTCTGTCGTCTGTCAGGGGAACTCACAATTCGATGCACCTCTTGGTTGTGCTGCTTGAAAGCCCAGGCTACATTGGGTGTCGGCCGACCACGAGCATGGCATGTCAACTGAACAATATTCAGAGCCTTGCCGATCATGGCTATATCAATGCCCGTAACTCGCGGGGCGGGACAGTCAAACTCACTAGGAAGGGGAAAGCGTCGCTTCACGAGCCATCGAGGTGCATGACAGGTCACATTCATTTGATACATGGGCTTCGTCTTCTCCTCGGTGGTACCGATGCTGAAGCCATCACCGACGGGTGGGGTGGTTCGGGTGTTTCGCAGTGAACGTGGTCCGTTGCCGTACTGCGTGGATGCATCGCCATAGAGCACACGATCTTCAAACACTCTTCGCTGGGTTTCCATCATCTGTGAAAGCCAGAGGAGATTGCAGTCACAGACGAGACTGTTATTGGTTAAATCAATAGAGCCCCAGTCGTGTTCCTTCGTGGGGTCCTGCTGTGACTGGATGATAGACGCGAACTCTGCAGACAGTGTCTGAATCTGATTGTTAGCCACGTTTATGTGTTTGGTGTTAGTTTTCTCAAAGAGCTTGTAGGCCAGCGACCTCAGACCACAGGATCTGGCTGCAAATATGGCTATGGAGGCGCCAGAGAAGACACCGATGGGAAGCTGGAGGCCCGGATTATCAGAGAGGATGAGTTTAGTTAACTTTAGACCCTTAAAGGTGCCGGGTTCGATGTAGGTGAGGCGATTTTTCGAAAGATCGAGATGTTGTAGATCTCGGAGGTCAGAAAATGCGTCGGGATTGATGTGGTCGAGCCCCGCAGAGACGATACGGAGATAGGTTAGAGACTTGAGGGTAGTGAAATTTTGGCGTGAGAGGAAGGAACGACCGTGAGGGAATGTGGCTGATTCCACCTGCAATTTGGTGTACTTTTTTGAACCGGCATTTGGCGGAGGCAGGGCGGACCGATAAGCTGGACATAGGAGGGCTAAGCTGTTTTCACTTAGAAGTTCCACGCATCCACTGGCGCTGGTGGAAGTCCAGAGGAGGCAAAAGCTGCAGAAAAGAAGCAGCTTCCTAGCTTTTTCTGATCTCATTGTCTTATGGCGTGTTTCGCTTTCTTCCAAAGTGTGCCTTATCTTCATTACTGTGCGTTCACCATTCTCCTAAAAAGCAAAAACAATTCTTTTTGTTAATCTAGAGTTTCTGAACGACCTTGAAATACATGCATAAGGGTGATAGGTGTGCTCAAAGAGGAAGAGAGTCCTAGCAGCATTAGGCTAAAGCAGTCTGCTTGATTCGAATATGTTTAACATCACCGCCCGTCATACAAGCTTCCCATCATGAAAAAAACCAAAACTCAATTTTCATGCACGCATGCAGGCAGGGTTTCAGAGAGAGAGGGAGAGAGAGAGCAAAAAAGTATACGCTTCAATGGTTCTCCTCCCCTTGTTAATGTGTTAGTTGGGTGTGGTGAACTCCCATGAACCGTCCTTTTCTCTATTAAACAGTAAGATTAAACACGGAACAGTTAAAGGAGTTTCAAGGTAAAAGAACCACTGCCGCAGGAATGCGGCCTTCTAGCGCAGCTTGCGACCGCTCACGAAATTTAAAGGCCAAATGCAAACAGGTTCAACATGGTGCGGCCAAACAAGCAATATTATCCACGTGCACAAACAACAACAACAAACAACTCCTCAGATGACTGATCAGGTAAGCACTCACTACCATCGAATCCTAGGAGTAGTGGACTGTAGATTTTTTTTTCTTCTCGAACTACTTATAACTAAAAACGCTGCCTTCTTCTGAAACATGAACGAATTCCGCCGCCTGCTTTGAGAATGGTAAAAGGGGCATGCAGGCTTGTGGTTTAACCTCACTTCGACCTCTCGCCAGCAGAGTTAGGCTAGTAACTATGACTTAGTTGGTAGGAGAACATTGTGCTTAATTTCCTGAATCCATGGAATCCGAAAGCATGATTATCACGTAAAATAATACCCTCAAATAGGTTTAGCTACACAGAATAAAATCACTTTCGAAATCATTTTATGATATCCTTAAATCCATCTGGCCAGAGAGTAGGTAATTTGTTATAATGGGCTTCAGCGAAGCAAAATATCTCTGTACTTGGATGGCTACATAATGAGGCCTTGACATGAATTCTCACGAATCAAAAGAGCGCAAGAGGAGTTGGCACATAACTCTGCCATTTCCGTGTGAGACCTGGGAAACCCCAATTGCTGGGATACCTTCCCTGGAAGGAGACTTTTTTCCTGCTGGATGCCGCAAGATATCGACCAGTCTTTGATTTTTGTCTCCAATTAAAGCTTTCATTCACTCAGAAAATGTACTTCATAAGCCTACATGTTTGTTGACTGGAAATTTGTGATAACTTCTTTTTCTACGATACCTAAGCCTCGAACTGCCATTCTTTGGCCATCGTCAGACGTTATTACGTCTGACGTTCTTAACCACTGTGCCACAGGCCTTTCGTCCTATAGAGATTGCTCGGGAATACTCCGCATGGTAGGATGGACGCTCACTGATCACCGCCGACGGACCAACAAACTTGGGTTGAGTAAGGTTCGCTGATGATGGCTAGTAGGCCAGAAACGGCGATCGGAGTCGCCTTCGTCGGTAATTCCGCAATGCCTACATTACTCTTAGTCGTTGTATGACTGTGTGAGGGTCTCTTTATCGAGCGGTTCCCACTTCCGCCATAGTTAATATTCCCGGCTACAACCGGCAGGGCTTATTGGTAGAGTGATGGACCTAAGAACGTCTAAAGACCAAAAGCTTCGGGGTTTAATCCAAGATCATCTATAATTGAGATTGAGTATGGCTGCCTGATGAAGGCTAATAAGTCAATCCATCTTTCCTTATCTCCTACGCATGCACAGTTAGGCACAAGCTTTTCTTCACCACCTTAATGACTGCGTTTACTGTGGAATTTCCAACACAAATTTGCTTCCCAATTTCTCTCTCTCTCTCTTTCTCCTCAGCAGCTGTCTGCACAGGCTTTTTCCCCCATTTTCTTCACCACTCTGGGTTTTCTCTGGGCTGCGATAATGTTTTCCGTGTGTCTGTGTATAGAAAAAGCCTGTTTGACGTTAAATGCCCGCGGAGATACAACATGTTTTCTCCTTCTTTCTTCTGCAAGAAGAAGTTCACGTGCGAGGAGCCGGCGGCACTTAAAGAGGGGAGAGTGAGTATGTGACGCATTCAGTACCCCGGAAAATCTGTCCAGCTAGCCCAGCCAGGAGGTCTGACCCGGCAGTCCCACTTATTTTGCCTATTCTACGTATGCTCATGGTGAGTATTTTTGAGACGAGGCCAGTGGACCACCCGTACTGTTCACAATTCACACACATCGAAGGCAGGAACGAGAGCAGGCTGTTAACCTAGGAGCTAATGTTATATGTTTTTACGCATAGTGGAAAGCACGTGATAGGTTAAAAAGCGATACCGTGGAATGTGTGTGTTAATATAAAGCCTTCGGGATGATTCCCAATTTTACAGGGCAAAGGCACACGTATTTATAGTATACCAAACTGTAATAGTCTTGCTAGTCCAAAGGGCTCATTGTGTGAGAAAGTAGTTGGTTTTCTCAATTCCACGGCCATTCTTGGTGTCAGACGGGGATAATTTAAGGGCAGTGCCCTTCTTTTACTCAAACTAACTGGGTCTGGCCTATCCAAATGGTGTAATGGCAAAGTATAATATCCAAATAAAATATAATGCTCGAATAAAGTACACATGGTTTCCCCTATGCTTCAAGCAATTGCCAGAATCAAGTCAGCAAATTAACTCATACCCAGCTTTCGTTTAAATTTTATACAGGGTTAAATGTTACAGGAGACGGGAGGGTAGTGGAATAGAGGAGAATATGCGAGTTCCAGGCAGCAGTTCAGAAGAAGAAGGAGATGCGATCACTGGAACAAGAGCTTTATTTTCCTGACGTTTAGGATACCCTCGGGAATCCTTTATCATAGGTGATGATAACATAGTCATGGTCATCTGCCTCTATTCGTTGTATCCTAAACGTCAAGAAAATAAAGCCCTTGTTCCAGTGATCGCATCTTCTTCTTCTGAGGGTAATGAAAGCTGGAATGACCATTAATGGCCACATTCCATCCCGGATTCGGATAATTTTACCTTCTTAATCGAGTTCTTTTGATCATTGACCGGTCGCTAACTTGATTGATGATCAAATTTATCATAATGGTCAATATTTCCGACAGTAATCGACGAGACAACGGGTCCGTGCCTCAGTGGAAGAACCATGGGCGTAGCGTCTGAGCGTGAATTCCAGGTACAACCGACTGACAAGCAATAAACGGTCATCCCAGTCTCTCTTGAGGTATGGCTGGCTGATGATGGCTAATAAGCCAGAAATGGCAATTTCAGTCTCCTTTTTCTTTGTCGATAATGTATTTCAGTCTCTTTTTGTCGTTTTCGGTATTTACTTCTGTACCGTTACTAGCGCCTATGCGATTGCCTTTGAGAGCTCTCAACTGGACTTCACGGCACAATGCAACAAGCATGTTGCGTAACCGCATCGGACAACGAGCCTATAACGGTAGTTCGGTGTTAGACCAGATCTCGCCATAGTCTGACATAAATCAAGTATACTTGGCGCGAGACCGAGACTGGCGTCCGTTGGGTCCCTTCAAAAGGGAGGCGGTGATTTGGAGCAGAACTCGTTTGACCATATTAAAATCCGAAAAAATCTTCCAGTTAGTAAAGATGATGCAAGTGGCGCGGTGAACGTTCCCTGCAATTATTGTGGGAAAATTCGAAAAAAGTGTCTCGTCCTCGTTGACCCTACTTGGATCTGAACCCCCATGCAATGAGATTGCGACCGCTTCTCCCTGCAGGTACTGGTAAGTAAGGCCATTGTTAGTAGTCAAATAGCATTAGCACCACGAACGTCCAATATAGCCTGATTTCTCCCACAATTTGGCATTTGAAGGAGTCTAATTCAGCAAAAGTTTGCTCAGGGAAAACATAGCAGGGTAGACAAAACTCACAGACCCGAATATCGAGCAAAATCTAACATGCATCGATACACATCATGGCGAGGCACCGCTAATGTGATGTGCAGTGGAAAAAACTGCCAAAGCTGTGCGGGAGTTAGTAAGATAAGCTCCTTCGATTTAGAAAAGGCGATGCCAGGCCTAGGCTCTCGTTAAGTAGAGGAAGAAGAACAAGAAGAAAAAGAAGAACAAGAGGAAGAAGAAGACGAAAACGAAAACGAAGAAGAAGAAGAAATGAGATATCCGTCAATCAGCCGAGTAACCACTGTAATCGTCTGAACTTTCGGATTCATACAGGAGCTCATCATATATTGTCTACTTGGCGACTCACAATGCCACAGCATCAAACAGCTTTTGCAAAATGTGAACACCCAAATAGGCGTCTTTACCTTAAAGAGGTTAAAGTCAGGATATGGTTCGTGACTTCATGTGTTTGGGCCCCTCTCCTGACCGGGAGGGGTGTTTAGATGACGTAAAAGCTAAAAATTGCAGCCAGTTTACCAAAATTAAGTTTCTGTCGCTCCTCCCTCCTCCCCCTCCCCAAGCACACCCATTCAGCGAAGAGTAAATTTTGACAGGCCCCACAGGCATGCGGTGGTATGTTCCGCTGGGGCACTACGAAGTCCGCTGTGTGTTTAAACGCAAGCATATACGCACACACACACACACACACATCCGGCGGGTTGGTCACAAATACCCACAAATAAGTGAGTCATGGTCACAAATTTGGGGGGTAGTTCCCCTGCAACACCGCTGGGATGGAGGAGGGTAGAAGTTCCGTAGGCAAGCAACTCCTCAGTGGGCTTGCCCGGAAAATGAGCCGGGGTACGCCGAAAAAAAGGCCGCCCCACATTAAACCCGGACTGCCGTCTGCTTTTGCGAACGGCCCAGATGAGGAGGAGGCATGGAAGGTCATGCTGCGTGTTCCCTCGTTGCCATTTGAGGGCACGAAACAGGAGTAATGGGGGGAGAGGAGGGGAGGGGTGGGAATTTTTAGGCAGGCCCCAACAAAAAAACGCAAGTGTGAAGGGCAGCTGGAGCAGAAAGCTGACGGTGGAGGGGGCTACTATGCAACAGGAACGGCCCAAAAGTGTTGGGGTGGGACAAGAGTTTTTGTCTGCCGCAGAAGGTAGCCACTGAGAGGGTTACACTCAAAAATTTCCCAAATAATCTTCCGCCTGGCTGGGAATACCTCTAGCAGCTAGTCTAGTCTTTTAATATGTCACTTCCCTTATAGAGCCCACCGGTCAACCATGCACCGTTTTCGAAGGTAAAACAGGGGGTGGTTGCCTCAAGCTCTTTACTGGGAAATCTAAATACTGCAAGTCGACGATGTTATGACAAAGGAATCTTAACAGGTGGTTTGGTATATTTGGATAATTCAGCTGACAAATTGCGAAAAACTCGGTGGCATCGACGGGATTAGAACAGCCAACTACCTGAGCTAGGCGAAAGTCTGTCAAAAACACCTATTAATTAAGTAGGTGATTGTTTAGGGACTCCTGTTTGAACAGTAGTTTGGGCGGCAAAATTATCTAGATGTCATTAATCTCATGACTCCCGGTTTGACCCTCATAGATCAGGTGGTTAGATCGTTGGTTTTACATACGTCCGTCGTGGATCCGTACCCACCTAGGCCGACAGGATTTTCACAGCAAAGGCGATTTAGGGCGCATTGCGGAAAGCGTGTGGCCTCAGGCCTAGCGCCTCGATCCACCAATCCCTCGGGTGACTGAAACCATCAGTTATGTTGGCGAGAATGAGGAGGAAGAACTGACGACTGTCGGTGTCCTCACAGGCGTTCTCCATATAGTTCTACCCATCCACATGCGCGTATTTCCTTCCGTTGCACAATTTGCCATCATAGCAGCCTGAGAGTTTAGCTTGATAAACTTACTGGTGACGAGGCCTAGCAGACTGCAACCATTATGTCGCACGTCTCTGCTACATCAACCGACGAGGCAAATTGCTGCTGTTAGATTTTTGGCGCAATTACCATGAGTGGGTGGTGGTTTCTACAGCCGAATTGTCGTCACCCGATGTTGTCGGCGCTGGCGACTTTCATCAGAGGGAAGAGACAGAATTTTA